ATAAAAACTATGGTTTGTCTGAGTAATAACGATATTATAGAGAGTAATTTACATTTAATTTCATATTTTTTTGAGGAGTGATGGATAAAATAGGGATGATGACATGCTAAGAGAAAATGTGTCATGTGGGTCACAAGTGGAAATTCAGGATATTATAGAGAGTAATTTACATTTAATTTCATACTTTTTTGAGGGGAGGTGGATAAAATAGGAATGATGTCATGCTAAGAGAAAATGTGTCATGTGGGTCACACAAGTGGAAATTCAGGGTATTTTAAATATTCCCTTGTAAAATTAAGAACTTAAAACTTGTATACTATTAAAATATGTATTATTAGCTAAGATTTTATGCTATTCTAATTGGTATAACATAAACAAAAAGTAGTATAATCTAATTCTGAATGTAAGACACTAAAAACTTTTATCATGCTCAGTAAAGGATACCCAGGGCGATAGGGTTATAGCATCTTACTTAATTTCAAAGTTTTATATTGTGTCACTGGGACATACACTAGCTATGAATAAGTCAGTAGAGTTGAGGAAATTTTATGTAGATAATGTAGCACTTTCTTTAGTCATGGTGGTATAGAACTGTCCACATGAATTTGGTTCCATAGATGGCATAAAAGTCAGTGTAGCATATTGTGCATTAGAGATTTTGTACAATAAAATTGATAGCACAGTATTTAAGGCTGTTAAAATGTGTCTTACTAGTAGTAGTTAGGGGCTATGGTTTTATTTTGGATCTTCCAGTAACTTTCAATTACTTTGCATTTAAGAGGCTAAGAACATTTTAAAATGAATACTGTTTAGTGTTTTATTTACCAGTTTTTTGACTGACATATTGATTGCAAGTGTGATCACTTTATATAGATATAGTCAAATATGATCAAATCTCAAACCCATCATTATGTGTGTACAATTGCTGTGATTTGAGTGATGTCACAAGAAAGTTCTTTAACTTTTAAAGTAGCAGTTAAACACGGCCACAATATCCCTGTCCAAATAATTTGCATTCTGGGTTTATTATCAATAAACAGATCATGTTTTTTTGGGGATAAAAACTCATTAATTTTCTTGAATGGCATATTCTGATGATCATTAGAGGCTCTGAGTGGCAATGAGGAAAAACAACTGGTAGTTGTCAGTTGCCTGCCACCAAATTTAAACCCTTGAACCTATAGCAATAACTATTACACAAACACTACCATTAAACACAGTAAACCGATTACTGAACCAGAAGATTTCCCTTTGTAATCCCTTTTTTTCTGCTTGGAATTAAACCAGGAACTCTTGCACATGACCAAGTGAACACTGTAAACTGAGCAAAAGGCTTAAACCAGAGATTATCTTGGTCATACATGATGTCAGTTACTAAGTTTGGTCTTATCATTTATGGTGTTATGCAATGTGGTTAAATGAATGGAAACCTCCTCCCCAAGGTATCTTGTAACAGTGTGTAAAATTTGAAATAAAACATACTCTTCGTACATAGTTTCAGAAATCAGTGGAATATCTTTTGAATAGGCAATAGAATCAATGTTACATTTATTACCACTTTAGATAGTTCTTTACTTCATCAAACTAATCATTTCATATCTCAACACATGAATAATTTATGAGATGTTGAGTTTCCTGAGTAAATTTGCTATTTTCCATACACATTATGTCCTAATATTTTCATGTGTTAAAAAATTAATTCTGAGTTAAAAAAACTTTTTAAAAATATTTCCTACTTAGTGATTTGCTAATGTGAAGATGACCATGTGATCATTATATTTTGTTTTTAAAATATGCAGTAATCCCCCATTTTTCTCTTTCTCTGTCTCCCCCCCCCCCCTCCACACACACACAGAGGAAAGAAATGGGCCTGTTGGTCCATCTAGGCCATCTCGTACACTATTACTAATATCTAAAATAAAAATACAACACTTACAACCAACCTGTATCATTCAGATATTTATAAAGCTTTCTCTTAAACTCCCATAAATTAATTGCGTCTACCACATCTGAAGGCAACCCTTCCCAAAGATACAACAAAAGCACCAGCAAGTGCAAATCAGAAGTAATGGATGCTGCAGGTATTTAATGATGATGAAAGTTAAAAGATATTCATGAGTAAAATGAAACTTGTTTTATTAATATCAGTGTTGAAATAAACCAGTTGTAAAAAACCTTAAGCTGCTAACTGTGAGCTGCTAACAATGATGTGAGAGTAAACATATTGAAGAAATTTTTTTTTAATTTTTTGTTCTTAATATTTAATTCCGATATATTCTCTAAGGAAAATATTGATACATAAAAAAACAAAAAAAACAGACAAAATGAGGTATAAGTAAATTTCAAGGTCAACTTTCTATTAGGTCGTCAAGAAATTAATGTCAATTTTGGAACACTTTCATTAACTACCCCCCAAAAAAATGTACATCACATGTAATAGTTAAATGAACAGCCTAAATGTCACGTTAGTGTAGCCTATATAATGTGTAAAGTTTAGGCACAGGACAAGTCACACATTTGGCATGTAATGCTGTTTGAATACAAGAAGGGAAACAATGCTTCTGTAGCCATAAAGAATATCAAAGAAGTTTATGGAAATGTTTTGAACATTCATAAGTGTCAACAATGGTTCAGCAAATTTCATTCAGGTGAA